CAACGAAAAAGTCTCGCACTTACCCACAAATGACTAACATAGGCATTTCAGACACTTGACGTTGATTGCGTTCTTGAAAACTTACGATGCCTGACGTCAAGCTAAGCACATATCCAAAGCACTATTTAACCATAAAACCCTTTTTTTGCAACTGCTTTTATAGAACACACATTCATGAATCATTACAAATGGTTCTGCCTTTCAAAAAATTTTTTTGCATGGGACCTACAGAAATCCAAAAACAAAGAAAAACCAAAACGGGACTTCAATGCCAAGTACCACTCAGAATATACTCCTTTCTTCAATATTGTCAAAAGCAACACAGCACGTTCATCAACGAACAGAGCTTCACAATCAAAGTTGCTGATCTGTGCCCAATTCACGCTCAGAAAGGAGCATCATGACTCATCATCGTGGGTTGGGAGACAAACACTTTTGGAAACACATTTCCAAGCAAAGAACTATAGAAATGATCCCTGAAATATAGTCTTAACGGTTTATGGAAACTCAATCGGCATTCCATTCTGTTGCACCTCTCCTCTAAAAGGGTTTTGCCTATTTGAATTTTGTGGGCTTTAAAGTTTACTTGACAATGACATACATCGGAGCCAAAAGCAGAAAGGACTTCCACAATCTCTTTGAAGCCTACTGTTAAGATATGTGGAATACACACAACAATGAATAATGTCATACTTTTTTGTAAGCATAGCTACCCGTGTCATGCTTTGAAGTACATATTTGTTGAAGCTAAATGTAGAAAATCTTTGAAAAGAGAAGTTATGTACATTAAAAAGAAGATGTTCCAAGTCTGTTTCTGTCTTCTTATTCTTCAGCCAGTTTCTCTCTTGGCCAACGTGTGCTTCAGCACCTCATAAGAAAGGATTCTGTACTTAGAACCATCTATCCTTGAGTGTAGTAGAGCTCACAATTCTACTGTGACCTCGATTGGGCCATCAATGCCTACAGCAGTAGGTGGTTCCAAGTTTAGAAAGTGATTTGGTGGAAATGCTCATGATTGATGTCTTTTCCTAGCTGGGGCTGCTCCATTTGTCCTGGGTTCCTTTTTCCAGTATTGGATTGGCAAAACTCATTCCAGAAAAGCTTCTAAAAACAATCCCCTTTCTCAAAAGGCACAAATGTCACACAACGCTCAGATTATACCCCTTTCTTCAACATCGACAAAAGCTACACAGAAACTTCATCAACGACACAGAGTTGACGTCCAACGAAAAAGTCTCGCACTTACCCACAAATGATAACATAGGCATTTCAGACACTTGACGTTGATTGCGTTCTTTGAAAACTTACGATGCCTGACGTCAAGCTAAGCACATATCCAAAGCACTATTTACCATAAAACCCTTTTTTTGCAACTGCTTTTTATAGAACACACATTCATGAATCATTACAAATGGTTCTGCCTTTCAACAAAATTTTTTGCATGGGACCTACAGATCCAAAAACAAAGAAAAACCAAAACGGGACTTCAATGCCAAGTACCACTCAGAACATACTCCTTTCTTCAATATTGCCAAACGCAACACAGCACGTTCATCAATGACACAGAGCTCACAATCAAAGTTGCTGATCTGTGCCCAATTCACGCTCAGAAAGGAGCATCATGACTCATCATCGTGGGTTGGGAGACAAACACTTTCGAAACACATTTCCAAGCAAAGAACTATAAAAATGATTCCTGAAAATATAGTCTTAACGGTTCATGGAAACTCAATCGGCATTCCATTCTGTTGCACCTCTCCTCTAAAAGGGTTTTGCCTATTTGAATTTTGTGGGCTTTAAAGTTTACTTGACAATGACATACATCGGAGCCAAAAGCAGAAAGGACTTCCACAATCTCTTTGAAGCCTACTGTTAAGATATGTGGAATACACACAACAATGAATAATGTCATACTTTTTTGTAAGCATAGCTACCCGTGTCATGCTTTGAAGTACATATTTGTTGAAGCTAAATGTAGAAAATCTTTGAAAAGAAAAGTTATGTACATTAAAAAGAAGATGTTCCAAGTCTGTTTCTGTCTTCTTACTCTTCAGCCGGTTTCTCTCTTGGCCAACGTGTGCTTCAGCACCTCATAAGAAAGGATTCTGTACTTAGAACCATCTATCCTTGAGTGTAGTAGAGTTCCCAATTGTACTGTGACCTCGATTGGGCCATCAATGCCTACAGCAGTGGGTGGTTCCAAGTTTAGAAAGTGATTTGGTGGAAATGCTCATGATTGATGTCTTTTCCTAGCTGGGAGCTGCTCCATTTGTCCTGGGTTCCTTTTTCCAGTATTGGATTGGCAAAACTCATTCCAGAAAAGCTTCTAAAACAATCCCCTTTCTCAAAAGGCACAAATGTCACACAACGCTCAGATTATACCCCTTTCTTCAACATCGACAAAAGCTACACAGAAACTTCATCAACGACACAGAGTTGACGTCCAACGAAAAAGTCTCGCACTTACCCACAAATGATAACATAGGCATTTCAGACACTTGACGTTGATTGCGTTCTTTGAAAACTTACGATGCCTGACGTCAAGCTAAGCACATATCCAAAGCACTATTTACCATAAAACCCTTTTTTTGCAACTGCTTTTTATAGAACACACATTCATGAATCATTACAAATGGTTCTGCCTTTCAACAAAATTTTTTGCATGGGACCTACAGATCCAAAAACAAAGAAAAACCAAAACGGGACTTCAATGCCAAGTACCACTCAGAACATACTCCTTTCTTCAATATTGCCAAACGCAACACAGCACGTTCATCAATGACACAGAGCTCACAATCAAAGTTGCTGATCTGTGCCCAATTCACGCTCAGAAAGGAGCATCATGACTCATCATCGTGGG